AATATTATTAAAATTAAATTGATAGTTATTAAAATATTTACAAAAAAAAACATAAACACTTACTAAATTTATCAAAACCTTAAAAGTAAACTTAAATAACTTGCTAATTATATAAGTATGTGATTTAAAAATGATATGACATAATTATTAAGAGATAAGTTATCATATAATCAAGTCAAGAACATAAATTAATGAGTAAGTTTTTGAGTTATAAGCCAATTCTTTAGGTGTGTAAAAACTTTTGTCACCCACCTGTATATAGGAGGTGCTTATATGAAAGTGTGCAATTCTAACTTGTAAGTTCTAAATTTTCCTGTTTTCGTAGAAAGCACGTATCTAACTCCTCCTCTAAAGTTAGTTAACCTCCAAAGAAATTTGGAATGGCCAGATGCAGGGGACCACACCCCTATTGTGACTCCCGGTGCGTAGTCGTTAGTCACGTACCCAAGTTCAGTTACTTGCGGGATATCCCTTCTTGGTGCGTAGTCAACAAGGGCACAAGAACCTGGCAAAAAAGCCCCATTCCAAATGTACTTTGTTTTAGAGAAAACATGTGGAATATATGAAACTTACTTTTTTCTCTAAAAGTCTTCGAGCTATCTCGCGGAGTTCATTCGGGCTTTCTTCATCACTACTTATAACGCGCAAAACTTTATAGAAAGTCGTATGGGCAATTTTTTTATGGTTATTATGTTCTAACCAATTGTCATAGTGAGGTATTGACCAATTTGGGTAAGAAGTGACTTCAAAATATTTTACATGTGGTACTTTCCAGTTTCTAATTTCTTTGAACGCTATTAAAAATATGATATAAAAAAATTAAATAAATTACATAGCAAAGCGACATATCTCAGATTTAATAACATACCAGGTGAAAGCTCTATACTGTCATCATTGTTCTGTAAATGTCTGTCATCATGGTTCTGTAAATGTTCAACAACTATTTTTCTACCATATTTACTAACTAACTTCATTAAAATTAATGAGTCTTCTTCTTCCATGATGTTTTAGTAAAAATGGCGTAAGTGTACTCTGCTAAAAATTGTACGTATAAAATTTTTCTCAACGCGTATTATAAAGATTTTAGGTAGCAGTACTCGTGACCATGGTTACGCAAGACCAAATAAAGGGGCGCGTCTGAAAATCGTAACCCGGATGATTAGACGGGTGGATCAGTGTATCCACTCGGGTGAACAATTCAAAGGATCACTGGTGCTTACCCATTTCAGTTTAATTGCTAAGAAAGCATTCCAATGCAAATTTTTTATTGCAATCACATCATTGAATCGATAAAAATCTTTATCAATAAAGTTCATATATGAAAATCGATGAGATAATTCCGCTTTTGCAGGTTGACTAATCGATCCAAAGAAAACGTCCGTCTTGGTACTACGAAGTATGTTTGAATTTTGTTGCTCAAAGAATTGAAGTGTCTGTCTTAATGACTGTTATTGTTTCAAGATAGCGAACCATATTAACTATTGTTCCTGATATTGTCTTTAAATGTAAATGTTAAACAAATCATATTCTTTTAATATCGATACGTTTGATAACATAGTTTTCTGTCCAGTTGACATATTTTACATGATAACTCTGTAATCACTAACTATTATATCCGAGTCTTTGTCTGATAAAACTTATAGAAGGCATGATTCCATAAATTCTCTTGAATTATTTTCGTTAAGATTTTTAGATAATCCAGATCTGTAAGATTGCATTATGTCGAAAATGTCTTTATATTGCCAAAATACAGACATATTAAAATTATGAGAGTCTAAATGAATATACTATACCTCATAAATATTACTTAAATCTTTTGAAATATCTAGTAAATTTAATCTGCCAGGTAAGATTATGTGAAGACTTCTATTATTTGCGCATTGAATCATCAAGTTTCATTTGTATTTTGATTCAATCCCTATCGGTATACTTTGCATCATCTGTTTCGATTTCTAATGGTTTATTTCAATCTGCAAGTGATTCTTCGTTATATGATAAGTACCGCCCCGAATTTTTAATGTTTCTGCATTATTTGGTTCAATTTTTAATGATCTATTTAAATATGCAAGCGAATTTCCATATCTCTTCATCGTATGGTGAGTATAAGAGTGAAAGTAAACTTTTAAAAAAAAAAATATGTTTTGGTCCAAAAAACAAAATAGACCACAAATTACAACAC